ACAGAGAGATCGTCTTCTTCACCTGGCCAGAGAGCAGTCGAACCAGAGGAATGGAAAAACAGAGAGTTGAGACGAGAATGAAGAGAACAGAGCAGAAAGTAAAGTGCGCAGGGAATTTTTAACGAGGTTCGCCACAGGGCTACTCCTCGTCCCAGGATAGTACCACTATCCTGAGAGACACTTTGATTTTTGTTTTATGACTCGGGAAAAGAACAAATCAAAAACAATACAGACTCAGGTGAGAAAATTAAAATGCCACCAGACCCAGAATTCGCGCAGGAATTCTTTACACCCTTTGATCAAGCTGAACCTATTCCTCAGCTTGATTCAAAGCCACTGATATCCAACCCAGACCCTAGCCCTTTACCACTGAGGAATGCCTTGCTGTTTTTCAGTGCCGAGCCTTCCTTCTGCTGCTCCTTTAAATAGAAGTTGTAGTAGTCGTTGCTGTTTGAAAGTGATCAGAAAGGGTAAGTTGAGCAGCTGTTCCTTGAATCATGGTTGATTGATCCGCTCCCCCTTGATTGCTGATTTGGTAAATTTTGGTAATCTTCCAACTTGATCCTTATTATCTCAACAATCTAGACAGATGTGGGTCAATAGTGGTGACTCAAATACTAGTTTCTTTCACAGTATGGTTAGAACCAGAAACTCAAGAAGCACTATCACCCAATTATTTACAAAAGATGGTAGAGTACTCGATGACCTGTATGAGATTGGACAGGTGGCAGTTGGTTTCTCCAAAAATCTTTTGGGACTGGCCAACTCTTCTTTGAACCATGTGACAGTACATACTTTGAAGAGTCTTATCTATCACCAGTTTCCCCGAGTCCTCTATTTGATCAGAGGTCACTACGACTGAAATTGTAGGGTGGTAAAAAATATAATTTAAGTACCAAATTGTAAGAAAAATAATATTGAGTATCAAAATAAAATTTTTTGTTTTGATTTGAACCGATCCACTGACCCGACCCAACCCGTCCCTAAAGTGTCAGACATAATCAATAGGGACGTCGAAACAAAGTTGACCCTTCAGAGACGGATCGGGACCCTTCAGAGACGGATCGGGACGGGTTTGTACTTGGTACCGAAAGTCAGAAACAAGTTTGCGGTACATACATACGTGTCGTTTCTGAGGAAGACGAAATTGGTTTTTTCAGACTTTTCACATATCTATTCGTACTCGGCGAGGGATTAGGTTTTGTGCTCTTGTTTCTGAGGAAGACGAAATTTGCTATCAGGTAGGGGGACGAAGACTTGACCAAGTGTCCTAGGTTATAACCTAGGTCATCAACTCCTGTATGAGCTAGAGACAGATCATTTGTGTCAACAAATTAACAGTAGTCTAGGAATATGTGATCATGTTTATTACTAATTTGATTCGGTAGACACGTAAAAATTCGAGGTAAAAAGGCTACCTAGCTCAAACCCTAAGAAGTCCTCAGAATATTTGAGATATCTCATGGTATACATACACATTATGATGATGAATTCGAAATTTCGTGAAATGAAAATGACTCGATTCAATTTTAAAATATTTTATCCACATTACTCCCTAAGAAATTATATGTTTTAAGGGTTGCATCAAGTCAATACATTCAATTTTTTTGGTGTATTATTTTTTTAGTACTTTGCTACGGTGACTTACAAGTCACTATGACTTAGAGTAAACAGTTGATCACTTCCGGAAAATAATTGCCCAAATGCTATACTTACCTTGTTGCAAACTGGCAACCTTTCAAACAGAATGATCGACTGGTTGGTGATTACCATATTAGTGTTGGAAGAATTTCACCACCAAAAATATTTGTATTTGAGTAATTTTTGAGCTATTTGTGAAGTGTGTTATGAGAGGTCGTAGATTGAGCATAATGGACTATTTGTTTTTGTACAACTATGATTGTGCATTGAGTTAGCAAATTTGTAATGTGGTTTATGAGATTTTAACTATGGACATTCAGTTTCAGTGGCATGGCCAGAAATCTGAACAAGGGGGCTAAAAAATTTATACTTAGAGATTTGAACCATTATCATTGAAGAGGGGGATAGTGTCTTATTAACTAGTCTATTTTTCGATTTTATTACTGATTTTACATATAAATTTACCTACATTTGAAAGTAGAGTGGGGAGTGGGGACTATAACCCATCTCGAATACAACGTGTTCGCTACTGTTCAGTTTTCTCAATCCGATTGACCTGCACAACATGGTTGTCTACTGAAACAAGTACCAGATCTATTGATTAGTGTTTTTAATAGAAATTGTCAACTTGCATGAGAACTTGAGAAGGCGTTCGACACTTCAACCATCATAGCAAATTCCTATAGGTATGCGTCCCCTCAACTCATTACTAGTTAGCTTCCCATCACCTAAGCCGATTACATCTTAGGAGGTTCGATCATGGTTGGGTTCCTCGGTTACAAGGAGGACCCAAAACCCAACCAGACTGTCTGCTCTGTCTCTAAAACACAAAATCGAATTACAAAGGAACATTGAATATTTCCCCTCAGAAAAGGACCATTGAAAAGAGATAGCTAGGTGAGCAATAAATTGGTATCTAGTTGACAAGAGTGAAGCCACAAGTCAAATTTGGGGATGATGAGATTTCGAGATGGAAACAGCCATGTGATTAGGGTTCAACTATTTCATTTTATATTTTTGTCACTTTGTGTGCATGCATCCCATTCATTTTCATTTTGGGACAACTAATAATCTGAATTGTATTCATATCTTATTGTGTACTCTTATACAAGGATGCCTCAAGTATTTTAGCCCACTAAAATTTTGATTTTGGCTACCTTAAGACTTTGAAAATGTAGCATGTCAAGATCAGAACACTAATGACTCATTGTGTATTCAATTCCGTGATTCGGACAATGACGATCTTAAACATGTCGAATGAATTCAAATTTCGTGGCAGGTGAAATCTTTATGTCTTGAATCGAGCCAGAGTTGTCTAGTGTCTAGTATATAATCCAGTTAGCTAATCAATCATTCACTAGAGAACAAAAAATCGTTAATGGCATTATTAGTTAGCAAACATTAGTCACTATTAAACGCTAATTGAGCTTTGATTTTAGGACAAGATCAAAGAGGGCCCATGCATGCATACTGCCTATCACGTGATTTTCATCAGCTTATCCGAAAATGATCGATTTTCTGGCCTCAATCCATGTCGGCTTTTCCCCCTGCATAACTTAAATGCTTGGTTACTAATTTGTAGTGATACTATTAATATTAGTAGCCACCAAATAAATTGGGCAATTTATGTATTAGAGTCACTTTCACTATACTTCGAGTAGATACATATTACAAAGGAGTATGAGAAGTATTTATAGTACTTCTTCATGTAGTTCATGAACAGGAGAGAAAGTCAGTTTCACTATACTTCGAGTAGATACATATTACAAAAGAGTATGAGAAGTATTTATAGTACTTCTCCATGTGGACTAACCCTAATCCAATTTGGTAGAGAAAAACGGTTACAAACCTGGCTCGGAACCAACGAGACTGTCATAACTGGGCAGCCCATTAGTACGATATTGTCCGCTTTGGGCCAAGCCCGCACGGTTTTACTCTTGGGTGTCCTCCCCAAAAGGCCTCGTACTAATTGGACTAGGTGGACACTTATATACAAGGGTTACTTCCCTTGTATTTCCGATGTGGTACTTGGATTGTCCCATAACAATCCTCCCCTCAAGACAAGGACCACGAACTTCGTGTCCTCACCTCAGCAATTATCTTGATCCGCCAGATGCCTTGTATCGATGGGCTTCTCGGTACAAGGACTTTTACCAGACGCGGAACTCTCTTTGATCCGCCAAACAGACGTGGATCTCCCTCGATCCGCCAGATGAGCCCAAACGTGGATCTCTCGTGGATCCACCAAACCAGACGCAGATCGCAAATCCCGAGGTCACCGAAAGAGGGTCCACCAAACTGACGTCCACCGCCCCAACCAACCAGGCTCTGATACCACTTGTCAGAACAGAAGCGTGTAATCGATAATCCAGACCAACAAGAACGAACACAAATTTAACGTGGTTCACTAACACAATGTGTGCTAGCTAATCCACGGGCAGAGGGAACAAATTTCACTGATTTTGAGGAGAGTACAGGTTACAAACCCAAATTCCAAACGGACAAAACAGTTTCAGTTTCAACATAAGACTCTCGTGACTTCCAGTCGTAGCCAAATAGTTTGATTCAAGTCATATCAACATAAGCCATGAGGCAAAGCAAGTTATGAAGTAATCGTGTCGAGATGACAGTAACCACATTCCATTTCAGTACTTGGACGTGGATGCATAGCGGTTGGCTCTCCTACTCCGATCTCGTAACATCCCTTAAGAGATGTCTCTTCAATTGTCTTGATGCTTGCGGCTTATTCACTTGAATTATATATTCTTAAGTGTTTTTATGAATTTATCGAATACTTATTAAGAAATGAGGAGAAAAACACATTGTATGAATTAGTAGATTTCAAAATCTTGTTAAACTTTTTATGAATTGGGCGACTTTTTAATCACTCTAATCAAGTCAAATTTTGAAATCCCAAACAGGACATGAATTTTTTTAAAACAAAAAATACATTTTGAATTCGGTTACAACCCAAATCTTTTTTGTCGTTTTGGCCATCCAACTTTATTTATCTACTGTTCGCAACAAATCACAACCCAATCACCCAAACCATCCTTTGAATCCAAATCCAGATTGCACATCTCTAACTTTGTTTCTAGGAAAATAGAGTACACATATCTCATTGATATATATTTCTTTCTTATTTTCAAAAAACAAAATGAAACCCATTTGGAGATTGGAGATGTCATTTCTTGTCTAGGGCTAGCTTGCTATAGCTAGGCACTTTCATGCAAAGACATTAGTGAGACATCGACAATGACGGTTTCACAAGACCCTACAAGTTTGGCCTTGGCCTCTAGTTTTTGTATAGAATTATTACACATTCTCCTTCTCTATATAAGCTAGTGGCTCCACGTTTTTCCAAACAAGAACCATTAGAACTAGCTACCAAAGCAATTCCAAACAAAGAAGAAGAAGAACCCTTTGAATCGAAATCTCATATATAGCATCATCAAATACTCATCAATAACAATGTCAAAGATGCATAAGAACCACTCCACCAAGCATCTCCTTCTCGTGGCCTTCTTCGTGCTTTGCTTCATCTCTCCATGTGTTCAAGGTAATAACCATTTATGATTCAATCTTTCATAATTTCATAGTTCTTTTCTATGAATATACTTGATTACAACCCAACGTTTTTTTCTTCTCTTTCTAATGAAGGATCTTTTGTTTTTTGCTTTTGTTATAGCAGGAAGGAGGTTGAAAGAAGTGGTTGGCAAAGAGAAGCATGAAGTAGTAGCGGTAGAGGTGAAGGAGCATAATAACAAGTTGGATAATTTGGAGGTTCCGTCCAAAGAAACCCATTTGCCGGACGCCGACGAACTCGCCGGAATGGACTATGCGGCGGCGAGTAAGAAGCCTCCTACTCACAACTGACTGGCCGCCAGCCGGAGGAACCAATTTTTTTTAGATCAGCATATACCATATAGTGAATAGATTAAGATCTTTGAAGTTGAGATTAGACACATGGGATACCATATATCTAGTTAGTGTAGATAGATTATGAAATGGGGATTGGGAAGGATTAGCTTAGTCACTTTTTTGTTTCTTCTTCTACCCATATGTAAATATATGGCTGAGGAACATGCCCATTACTTGAAATGAAAAGGGTTTTGGAATTCAATGCATGTTTAAGATGATTGTATTACTTCCTTGAAACATATGCCTATGTATACCTAATAACTTAGATAGGATGCTCTGATCTTTAGGTAAAAGAAACAATCTATTGATATTGAATAATGTATTTGAAAAGATTAAGTAAATACTTTTTCGAAATTCAATTATAAGCAAGATTCATTATGTGATAGTGTCATGTGTCCGCTCTGAGAGATCAAAATTGCATATTTGTTCGCTCAAAATGGTTAAAGAAATTAGTGAAAACTTATCAGTTGTTGGAATTTTGTTGAATATCTCATTGGTTATTGGTTTATAGAGGAAATATAATAGCCATGATAAGCTATAAAAGCCACACTCAAGATAATAAATAAATGAAAAGTCATGTTCCTTTAGTTCTCTTCAAATGTTTCTTGAAAGTCTAAACTTTTTTAAGTAATCAGTGACCGGTATCGAAAATAATCTTATCTATTAAGTAGATTATTCCATTTTGAGAAATAAAAGTCAAGAGTTCATATGAGAGGATGAACCCTTATGTAATAGAGGGAGAGTGAGTGGAAGTTTCAAAGTCCAACCTTCCTAGCTAAAGCTAAGGAGATAGTTACGCAAAGGGTTCAATCAAGTGGTAGAGTTGGTTGGAATAGAAGAGGTTAGTCAATCTTTTTCCCTCCCTTTATTAGTGCAATTGCATTAACATATTAATTGATTATATTCTTTTTAACATATATTTTTCACACTTATAAGGAAACATAGTAGGCAGGAAGGGTGCCCACTTGTAAATGGTATGTTGGGAGGGAAGGTTAAGGTGGGGCTCTTAATTAGTAGGAAAATGTCTAATTATTAGTCCATTCAATGTAATAAATCACACATTAAATCAAACCTTGAGATATGGAAGACACTAATAATTATTATAATTATCACCATCATTATTGTTAATCTTCGAAGGTTAAAAGCAACCTCTATGCATATATATGTTATGCATTGACCTATAGTGGGGGAAAGGCTCCAACGTCAGCTTGATATATTGGAGTGAGATTAGACGAGTAAAGGTGATTGGTAGTGTTGGAATTTGATGAGAACATCATACACCTCTTTTGTCAAACATGGCGGTTTGCTTCTTTTGGATATTGTTCTTGAATAGTTATTTGTGAACCTGAACACTTAACAAAGAAAGAGGAGGAGGAACTGATTATGTCAAACTTGTACTATATGTGATTTAGTTGGAGAGAAGACTGAGCTTATATAAGTTGTTTAAACATTTATGTCGGGAATTGTATGGAAGAAAAAAATATGATTTGCAAGTCTCTCAGAGGTTATAATTTGGGAAAGAGTAGATAATATTTGTGAAAACTTATGAAGAGAAAGAGAGAAACTTGAATGTGTGGTGAATCGTATACCAACTATGAGTCTGCTGAATACAGGGGTACATATTTATCGGAAGAGCAAGACGATTATGGTTTTTGATAATCGGGACCCCATTTTGTATTTGGTTGTCAATGTTGCTTGATAGTTGATACTCCTAATTATTCCTTGACATTTTTCTTCATGAAACATTGATCTTTTATGGATGTGTCTGCATTAGGGGTGGCTATACGGTCCGGTCCGGTTAAATTGGCCCAAATTGATCCGGTCCAGTCCGGTTTTTTTGAAAATATAAGGACCGAAGATTGGATTGGATACACTCCGGTCTTGATCCGGTCCGGTCTTGACCCGGTCCGGTCCCAATTCGGTCTTGATTTTATATTGAGATTGTTGGAATTTGAGTGGCCTAAGACCTAAAAGGGTGAGGAGTTGGTTAAGTTTTGTACTAAGTGCAAAGGTTTGTGACCGTTTATGCAAATTACCCTTAAGTTTTGGGTGTTGAGCTCTCTTATCCGGTCTTTATCCGGTTTTTTACCTCAAATCTAAGCCCAAAGATTGGATTGGATTGTTTACTATCCGGTCCCGGTCCGGTCTCGGTCCGGGTTATACGGTCCGGTTTCCGGTTTTTCATCCGGTCCCGGTCCAAATAGCCAGCCCTAGTCTGCATAGTGCTAGAAGGAGAATGTTGTTTAGTAGTGAACTCTTTTGACAAACACAAAATGTATAGTAATGAACTCCTTAGCTACTAATCAAGTAGGGCCTCTTTTGATTAATTATATGATCATATGAAAGTCAAATTGAATTGACGATCGAGATTCAAGTGGACTCTTTTCCCTACTTTTGCTTTTTTGGCTCACTTAAGTGAGTCAGCTCCTCGATTTTGAAATTCATTCTCAAAACTCTTATTCAAATTATTCCTTTGTTAACAACCAAAATTACAAAATACAGTTGATTAACTTCAATGAGTGTTTGTAGTTTATAAGGCCAACTTAACCATGATAATTCAATTCATCTAAGTTACGCTTAAATGTACCTTTGGGCCACTCATGTCTCATGCGAGGTAACTCGATACCTCAATGTACACCCCCTTGTCGCCAAGCTCCAAACATGACATCATCAAAGGGGGTCAGTAAACACCAACGTGGCCACCACCATGACAACCTTCTATCCGTCATCCCCATCCTCACGTCATATCCTATCAAGCCTGCAAGACACAAGCACTCATGGGATGAGTTGTCAAGCAAGATACCTTCATGGCGCAGAGACTACCCATCAAAGCACATTGTAAAGTATTCAAGCCGTCAAGGTATCAAGTGGTCTTCATGGAAACAAAGAGGGTTAGGGTAGCAAGCAACAAGCAATGAAGGAGCGTTATCAAGACGATTGCACTTAATGGCTATAAATCGAATAAAGGAATACTGGAGAAGGTTTCCCAAAACCAACGCTTTGTCAAACATTTCATGTATATATTTTATATTTTCTCTATCATATAGCAATAGTCGTAGGCTCATAGCTTTTAGTTTGAAGCTCTCACGGAACCTTCATATGAGTATGAGTAAGTTAACGTACCTTGTTTCCAAAAAAAAACATCAAACATCATCGTTCAAACATTATTAGGAGATGTGAGAAGCATGTTTAGAATCGTTTTCAAATAAATTTAAAGGTGCAACCATTAGTTTTGTACATAAGTTTCTCGCGGGAAAACATCCTTCCGGCAATCTCTCTTTCCGGTTTGTCTCTTTTTCTAGACGCAAACAAGCTATCAACAACGATAGCTTTGGTCACATTTCGTTTTCTCTCGACAATTCTACCTTATCATCCTTTTCTTATTTTGGAAAAACTTTTTGTTAGTCTTCATTCAAAACTCCTATACATAGATTCTCTATTTTTCCAATAGCTTAGAGATAGAAATCAAGGCAATATAACTCAACAATTAGAATCAATAAAAATAAAACCCTTTCAATGAGTGCATTCCTTGTTGGATATGGGTTGTGGCATTTGACACTCAAATCCAACCCAGTTAAGAATTTTAACAAAGTTCACTGTTTGCTAGGTATGAAATTAAGGGATGCCAAATTTGTAGCAAACATAGATTTTTGCTCACAGGATTTGAGAATTTCATCTCATAAGTTGGAATTTGATCCAAGAGACCAAAATTCCAAATCTATTATGGTCTCTGATTACAATGTCTTCGTATATTATTCCCCAAATATTTCTTATTTAGTTAAAAAAAATGTAAGATAAATTTATTATACCCCCAAATACTTCTTATTTCGTTAAAAAAATGTAAGATAAATTTGCTGTTAAAGCCATAAATTCAATATAAGACAATTCATTATCAAGTCCACAACCACCTTTCCAAATCCACAATTGCCCAAATCGATCATAAATCCTTCACTTTTCAAATTAAAAAATCTAATAATCCAACAAGCATGGACAAAATTTGAAGACCAAAACAGAAAAGTTCATCATGTTGAGGTACCAAAACTACGATTCTACCATCATTTTCATTCCCAACTAGCCAGAGCTACAGTAATCCTTCAAATTTTTTTTTTTTTTTTAGATCCCTATAAAAATGAAGTTGCCAAAGTAAAGAAAAGAAACCTCTTCTTTCTGTCTCCTCAAACATCAAAATCTACAACTGCCACTTTAATCCCCATGCCTATCCTTCTCTGCTATGAATTATGATACAACAAAACAGGTCTCTCCCCTCCTGCGAATAAAGTATCCTACTACATAATCAGCCTTCTTCTGCAATTCTTTCATAAAAGAGCAAGGTTGCCTCTGCAGCAAGGACATCCTCCTCAGAAACTATCGAGACCTGGGAATCCGAAATGCAGAACCAGTGCAGATGGGAAGGCTTATCCTGGTTCCTGCTGCTGCATTCTTCTGGGGAATTGCACCGTGCACTTCGGTAAACAGTGTAGTGCCCACCTCCTGGCCTCCCAAAGTGCTCCACGACAGAAACTAGGTGGTAGAGAGAAGACATCGAGGGAGACACCACATTCACCTGGTGATGAAACATAAATGCATAGCAGAAGCAAATCTTGTGAAGTGAGATGGATGATGATTCAGACAGACTTTGCTAACTGTAAAAAATAATACTTGCACTGTATACCAACTTTCAGGGTGTGTTTGGATGGATACAAGGATAAGGATTCCAAATCCATTTGTTTGAATGTTGATTAGATGTTGGATTTAGTGCAATTACATTGATGGACTTCAAATGTCATATCTAGTATATTAAAACTGATTTTCGAATTCCTATCGACACACAGGGATCGAGGTTGCAATCAACATTTGAGTGCGAGCCAGGATCCGAGTCCAAGTTTGGATCGGGGTAATTTCCAAAAACTAGCATCCAGAAAGCAGTGCAATTCATGTCAGAAATCAATCTAAGTGAATTTTGGTGGAGTCCAGGTAACTCCCAAAAACAGTCAAGCAGATTTGAGCAATCAGTTCAGTACATTGCATTCCATTGGACCCCAGTAACTTCTAGTTAACTCCAGCTTAGAGTTGGGGTAAATATTAGCAACCAGACCTTTATTTATGTTTAAAACAACTTAAAAAGAATGATAGTTAATTCGAGAAAAATTCAGTAAACTATAGTAAGGATTCTAGTAAATTTCACTACGACTCCAATAATTTTAAGCATGTTTGGGATTGGCTCCATGGCCGAGGTTAGAGCAGGCCAGGGGTAGCTATGATTGGAAAGGACTTGTTCCGTGGAGTAGCAAGTTGGGAGTCAGGTTACTCAAGAACTTAAATTATACATGGTGCTAAAATTAAAACTCAACATCAGTTAGCTTCACCACACAAAGAAAATTTGCACTTGAATTAGATATTCAGAACTAAAATCCAACAATTCAAAATTCATTTATCCAAACACACCCTAATGATATTTAACACAGTTCGTAGAAGAGATGTAGAATGAAAAAATCATGAGTTGGGTTGTGTTTGTCATACCTTGTCTGCGGTTGGGAAGCCTGCATCAGTCTCCATGGTCTCCAAACTGACTTTGATCTCAACCGACTTGGCTTCTCCCATAATGGTCTGTAATTGCTCGGAGCATTCAAATTTATCTGCCACTAATGCTTCTTCGGCGGCTAAATCTTGGCCACTGATGCAAGCTGGCACTACCGTATCAAATTGCACATGAGGACTGCTCAAACGAGAGTATTGCTTTTGAGATTGCAGCCCTCTAAATGTGAATGGAAGCAGGTTCAGAACAAAGGGGAAACTGATATGGCCCTGAAACAAACACAATGAATTGAAGTATTGAACTGAAAAAATCTAATCAAGCAAACAAGTAAAAGTTGACACACTGGGCAATTCGAGTACCTGAAGTTTGATAGGCTCACCAAAGTGATTAGCCGAAGCACGTTGTAGATGAATGCATAGGATCTGGTTAACACTCACTCATGTAGTTAGCTTGCATAACTAGCATGAAGATTTAAAAGCCCTATTGCATTTATGTCACAACATAGATATTGAATGATGTATGGCATGCTAACGGATATAAGAAGATTGAGAGTCTGTACTTTGTACCTTTGGGCAACGAGCTATACTAAGTCGCTTCAAAGTCCGCGAGTAATTATTCGACCAAGGTAGATTCTCCAGATGAAAAGCCCTACGACAGGCACACGAATCTCTCTCAGTACATTTCGTCAGCTTCTCAATGTCAGCCTGAAAAGCAATTTCAGGGAACTCATATTAATGGTCAAAAATGACATCACATTACAACTCGGAATCAAAGTGCTTGAATACCTCGGGGGCTCCTCTAACAATGAGATATTTTATTGCTGCAATGTGCCAACAGTTTCCACAGTGGTAATTATCGAGTTGTTCCGAAGCTATAAACCGCTTCATGCAATCCTCTAGAGTACATCCAACGATCTATCCAGGATATTCCAGGAAATCAGGTGAGGTTCACATACTAGAATTGTACAAGGTGAATACTCGAGCAATCAACAACAAGAAGATCAACACTAATATGGGGCTCAATTATGCAGAATACCAAACAACGGAACCTTTGATTAACATACTATTGGTGCACCAAATCCAAGAACTGGCGAGAGGGGCAGACTATGGAAAAATTGAAAATTCAATGAAATCTGCAAAACAACAACAATGCAGCAAAAAATGGAGTTAAATATGACCATAAATAATAAGAATGAGAGAATAAGAACATTAAAAGTGACTTCAAGTATAAAATGTTCAGTAAGAGCATAATTAACCTGTGATGAGCAAGTTTGGCAGATTAATGTGCTGCTAAGAATACCATCGAATGGTCCAAGGAAGTGTTGCTGCCATCTTTCCTTTTCATTTTTTAGTTCATTAATTTTCGGAGTGACAATCCTGGAGTGAGCACTCTTGATAATCTCTGCCAGTGAGCTCTGGCTGGGAGGATAACAATCAGAAAATTCTTCTCTCAAAGAGGACAACAGGTGAAGGAATGCTTCTTCTGCATCCTAGAAAAGAAGATAATATCAGAACTCCAGCAACTAACCAACAGAACTTCCACCAAGAATCAAAAGCCAAACACTTGCACCTGTTGGCTGGTAAGGTTGAAGTTCTGGATATACTGAGCCATCGCTATCATCACTTGCCGGGGACTTAACACCACTCTACCTTCTCCACATAAACATAATTCTAGGAAGCCAAAAAGAGTTCAACCCAGAAAACAACTAAGTCAAAGCTTCCCTTACTTGCAATGTTAAAAGTTCATAATTGTCCAGCAAATTAGTGACAGAAAAAAGCAATCAAAATTAGTTCACATTAGCTATTGAACTACCTTCTAACAAAGAAGCCAAAGCAACTGTTAGCTGCAACCCCTCGCTCCAATCCTCACTGGCAGAGGATTCGCAATCTTCTATGATCTTTTGAAGGAATGGCTGAAAAAGAGAGCAACTTGCCAAAGCCTGAAGAACAATCAAACGTTTCCTAAGTGAAACTATAAATTCAACACCAAATTGAAGCAAGAAAAAAACCGAAACTTGAAGTACCCAGTTAGGGAAATTACCTGCAAGATCACATTAAGAAAGCAATTATTCCCCAAGTTCTGCAAACCAGGAACTAAGAGCACTTTCTCCCGGCCATCCTTGCCCTGACCCAACCAAGGTAACCCATTGCCCAATTTACGGTCCCTAATTAAGGCGACGGCCAACCCGGCGGCAGCCATCACGGCGGCAGCCAGTGGAATGGGGAACCCAGAAGCCGAAACCCACCTCATCTGTGTAGATAAGTACTTCCGAATCATAGGTTTTTGAATTATCTTGCTGCTTCTTCTATTGAGTTTCAGCAGGGCGGCGGGAAGTTGGCCGCTTTCGGATTCAGAATCAGAGAGCCAGGGAGAACTGGAATCTTGGAGATAAACTTTGCGGAACCCCCTTCAAACCCTTATTACAATTTCGTTTTGCGGAAAGAAACGTTTCCACTGTCGTTACTTACGCGGGTAAAAAGAAAGAGAAAACAAATTACTGGCCGTTTGGTAATTGCACGGGTTTACAATTTTACATGAACGGTCCTTCAACTTTGGGGTAATTACCTGTGATATCATCATGTCATCCATATTCTAAGTATTTTAGTATGTTAGATTTAATTTGATCTCGTTCAAACTCGATTTAGATTAACTTATTCATCATATTTAAGACAATTCATTAAGTTGAAATCAATTTGATCCAAATATCGATTGAGACAGACGTCAAATCATTATTCATCCTTAATACTCTCATCATCTCACTAAAAATCATCGCCACATCCATCTTCTGAGTCCATTGATTCACAATTCACACAACCCCACTTAATTTTATCAAGACATGAAATACCATCACAACAATTGCAATGAAACTCCAAGGGCGAAAGTGTCTTTGAGTTCATTACTCAACATCATCAATTTTCACCATCGTCGGCTTCTTTCTCCTCAAGTTGAGATCCGTCAATTCACTTCATCCAACTCGTTTACCGATTTTATTTTTGATGGGTAATCAACGAATTGCATTGAAGCGCTAGGGAACATAAACCAAGCTCCTCTCAAAGTTTGCAAGTGTATATTATGAAGTTATACAAGTGTAACTATAAGTAACTACTAAATCGACTACAAACGAAATCAAAGCATCCAACACATGCCATTTGTTCATCATTTCCTACAACAAACATGATAATCTCATATTTTATTCTTTTATCAACTGGTATAGTGAAACAACATATCTATTCCCAATCACCCGAGCGCATCGCTTCCTCTAGGCATAGCTGAGCACCATTACCACGCTATCTACTTACAAGGGTTCTACCTCAAATGAGCTTCTCCATCCAGAAAATCCTAAGGGGATTGAAGAGAACAAGTTGAGGCACCCTTCCATAATAGTACGGGTATGCGCACAAGTAGCAAAAAGGTGATCTTGATCTTCTTGACCTCCTGGGCACAATGCACACGAAACTTCATATGTCTTACACCACCCAACCAATTTGCATTTAGCGATGACTCTATCCAACACAATTAGCCAAACAACCAGATTATGCTTAGGGATAGAAAACTGACACCAGACTATCTTATGCCAGCTGACTTAAGGAAGAAAATCTTCAATATCATTTCAGACACATTTCATTGAATTTTTGTTATGGTGTGATCATTCCGACAAAGGGAATGAATGACCCATACCTATGGCTATGATAAATCTGCTAGCAGCTTGACGATACTTTAAGGTTCGCTTCCATATCCATGATCCAACCAAGGTACGTTGGAGCAATCTCCCAAATGGTCATGTTCTTCAATCTATATATATGTATCTATGCTATCCAAAGCTAACCCTGTTGTGCCAAAATATTATAAATATGCCTGATCACACAAGCCTGATTCCATGACCCTATAGTGGCACTCATTTGTGTTCCAAATTCACCCACGCCCTAGAGGAACTTGTTATAAAGATCCTCAACCGCTCACAGGACTTGTTGTGGAAGTAAAAATGGTTTCATCCAATTTACATAATGCTGGTGACCACGAAGACACGAGCTAAACTTTTCCAGTATAATTGAGAAATCTAGCACCCCAACTTCGCAGATTTTTTGTCATTCTATCAATTATATTTTAACAATCCTTATTGTAAGCCTACTTGAGATAAGGGGAACCCCCTAATATCATCAGGCAGAACCCCCAATGGAAAACCAGTCACATCAGAGATAGCATTCTTCTCATCATTTGAAATTCCTGCATATAATAATTTTGACTCTTGGATGGATGAAACTTAAGGTCAGATACACGATAAAACTCAGTAATTAATCTTGTAATGTTAGCTACCACATAACCATTAGAAAATACTATCAAATCATCATAAAAACATAAATGTGTTATGTCAAACTGCTTGCAAAGAGGATGATCAGAAATTTGGTCTTCAGAGATTTCCTTAGAAAGTAAACAAGAGAATATCTCCATCGCAATGGTGAAAAGGTAGGAGAGAGATGGTCCCCTTGCCTTAACCCCTTTTGGGCAAGAAAATATCCACGTTGTCTTCCATTAAGTGTCACATTTAACGTTGGAGTGGTTACAAAACTCCAAAATTAAGTCAATAAATCTAGGAGGTGATCCCGTGGAAGCCATCACATTACACAGAAAATCCAAATTAAACGAGTCAAGCGCCTTACTAAGTCTATCTTGACAACATATCTAGTAGTGATGGAGGACTTATGATAATCTTTAATAAGATGAAATGTCATTAAGATATTATCAACTATTGATCTACCCTTATAATAAATGCATATTGAATAGGGCTAATGAGTTTTGGAAGAAATCTAGCAAGTCTATTAGAAAGAATCGCAGAGATACTTTTGTAAAAAACATTGCAACACGATATGGGGGCGGAAATCTTTCATGCACTCCACTTTCTCAACCTTAGAAATTAAGGCCACAATCATAGAGACTGCTTCTCGCAACATCTGACTAGTATGAAAGAAATGGAGAAATGCTTCTTCCACATCAGTCCCAATAACCTACCAATTGTGCTTGTAGAACTCAACAAGATACCCATCAGGCCCTGAGACCTTATCTGAGCTCATAATAAATAAAACTCTTCGTATTCCATTCCTAAAGACACAAACACGGAGGCCTTATCTCTACTCCACAACCACTATCAAGTATCAAGTCTTTGTCGTCTTAATCCACCATCGACCTCAGTTGACCAGAGCATGGCACTTCATCTCCCGTCGCCGATTTTCAACCTCGTGAGCAAATGTTGAACTTCATGTCATCGCGACAAGTGCTCGGACCCGATCGGAATACGGAGATGGCAAACCCACCCAGGGAAAGAACTACCGGCGTGCAGAAGCTGAACAAATGAGTTGATTATTCATGATTAGAAAACTTATTTCCCGTTGTGAGGGAGGCATGATAACATCTCAAATTTAAAAATTCCAATAAAATTTAAAATTTAGATAATTCATTAAAAAAGTGTATTTTCCAACCAACCGGCTGGGTTCAACCTAGTGAAAATGATTCTGATGAACGAACTCTGACACCATGAAATTTTTTGATGGAATCGTGTCATGATTATGAACCACTTCGGGATTCTCTTCTTCACCTCAATATCACTCACCAAACAATTATCTCCCTGAGGCCCTGAGGCCTTATCTCTAGCTCCTCGGCATCCTCTATCCCTAGCTTATATTTCAAGGTACCTTCAAAATAACTCATAGGTCAAATCTATAATTCATAATCGGGTATCCCAAGCAATTTCTCATAGAAACTCACGACCACTCTCCCCATTTCACGCATGTCAGTCACTACTGCACCTGAATCATCCATCACGCAACCTAACATTAGCTGCTTATTCCGCACTTTCACAGACTTGTGGGAAAAGGATATATTAAGATCTCTTCCTTCAGCCATTGAACACAAAAATTATGTTGATAAAATGACTCATCTGGAGCCTATAATTCCTTAACAACGTTTTCATGGCAACTTCATTTCTAACATTATCATTAGTAGGATCCCGAAGAACTTTCCATTGCATTACTTCTAACTGAGAATCTACTTCCCTTGTACGTTCTTATTTAGGTTCGAAAGCCCATTCGTTAGGCATCTGAGCTTTTCATAGAACCCTTTAATTGGATGAGATGAAAATGATGCTACACATGTTGCCTCTAAAATCCCTAACAACTCGGATCTTCTCTTCAAAAATTGAAATATTTGAATGGCTTGGGACAAGATTGCTGCAAAGGAGAAGTTGAAACCAGAATTCCACAATGATCTTCATGGTATCTCTTATGTGTTTGTCTCAAGAACTCCTGATCCCGACATTTTTTGTGAGGCTCTTCCTCTTCTCTTTGGCTTGCTTCTTTGCTAGCACCAAGCCAAACCATGCCCTGATACCACTTGTCACGTCCTTACTCTTAGTCGTGCGGCCCTATTTCTCAATCTGTTAGAGATGCTAGGCAGCCTTATCTCAAATTCACAAGCTCATAAAGAAGGCAAAGATAGACAAAGGAAATGGGAGAACTCTCTATGTGTATTACTCCAAAAAATAATATGATGTAATAAGTTGCAAGTGAAGGAGATTACTCCTTATATAGGTCTTTCCTCATACAAGACATCAATGTCTCCTCATAGTGGCCTATCCCCATTACTACACCTTTTAAGTCGCCATAATGCACTCTAATAATGTCACTCCATAAGAAATTTTGAATTACTCATTTTTGTGTTGGTGGAGTGTATTTGTATATAAACCAGGGACCAGGATATCGGACCGGCCGGTCGGACCGGGAAAACCGGAAACCGGACCATGCCCGGCACAATATGGGCTGTGTACCCTTGAAATTCCCGTCGGGCGGTATTTGCGGTTGGACCGCAATGAGCCGAAATTTCGGCCAGTTTTAATAAACCCGACGGTCCCTTAATTTAAATGAAACGACGCCGTTTTGACATAAGCTTAAACAAAACAAAAAAACGGAAGAAAAGCAGAGACGAAAACCCTACTTCGGCTGGCCCTTGCTAGCGCTCTCGTCTCCCCTTGGCGCCGCTCTGCCTCTCAAGTCTCGAACTCATTTCCATTTTCTCAACGACCAGAGATCATCTCAAAATCGTCCTCCCCAGCAACCAAACACCACCAGCGATTCGTCCTCCCCAGCAACCGAAGACATCGTCGTTCCCGGCCACGCCGTGCCGGAGAAAGAGGAGCTTCGTTCGTCTTTCCCGGCCGCGCCGGAGAAAGAGGAGTTGCCTTCGTCGTTTGCGTACCACTGACCGACACGATACCTTCTACACACTGAGATTAGAGGTAGTGTGTGTTTTCTCCTTCTCCCTTTGTCGCTGCTTTTATTCTAATTTGTACAAAATCAAACGAAAACATTGAAATAGGCTGATTCATGGGTTAGTAAACAAAACTCAATTGATGCTTTGGATGAAGATGAAGGGTAATATTGC